GCATCGAGGAGTGATAGGCACTGACGCAGCGACATCTAGGATTCCTGGGCTTTTTAATGGAGTCTGAGTCAGAGCTAGGACTGGAACGAACAATTGATATTGGTTTGCATAGGTTGCTATTCGAACAGTGGATCTGTGATAAGATCCCAAATTGGGGTATCGGAGGAAGATGAACTTTGATACAGCGACATCTAGGATTGCGGGATTATTAATAGAAATTGAATTACAGTTAGAATTGACTTAAACGATTGATATTCGATTGGACAGGTTACCATTTGAACGGTACTTTTATATGACAGGATCCTAAGTCGAAGCTTCGAGGAGTGATAGACACTGACGCAGCGACATCTAGGATTCCTGGGCTTTTTAATGGAGTCTGAGTCAGAGCTAGGACTGGAACGAACAATTGATATTGGTTTGCATAGGTTGCTATTCGAACAGTGGATCTGTGATAAGATCTCAAATTGGGGTATCGGAGGAAGATGAACTTTGATACAGCGACATCTAGGATTGTGGGATTATAAATATAAATTGAATTACAGTTAGAATTGACTTAAACGATTGATATTCGATTGGACAGGTTACCATTTGAACGGTACTTTTATATGACAGGATTCTAAGTCGAAGCTTCGAGGAGTGATAGACACTGACGCAGCGACATCTAGGATTCCTGGGCTTTTTAATGGAGTCTGAGTCAGAGGTAGGACTATAATGAACAACTGATATTCGTTTGGATAAGTTCCTATTTGAACAATGGGTCCATGAATAGATCCTAAATTGGGGTATCGAAGAAAGATGAACTTTGACAGAGTGACATCTAGAATTACAACATCTTTTAATAGAAACTGAATTAGAATTAGAGTTCATTTAAGCAACTGATATTTCATTAAACAGGTTACTATTTGAAAAGTGATTCTATAAGATAATCCCAAGTCTAAGCATCAAGGAATGACAGACATTGATGTAATGATATCTAGATATGCAGGATCCTCTACTAGACACTGAGTCAGAACAACTGATATTCGTTTGGATAGATTAATATTTGACCATTAGTTCTGTGATAAAATCCTAAATTGAGGCATCGAAAAACAAGACATTGGCACAGCAATATCTAAAATACCAGGATCTTCTAATAGACACTAAGTCAGGTCAACTGACATTCATTTGGACTAGGTTTAGCCTGCTGTTTAATACGAATTACAATTCCGTGCTTACGCAGTATGTGAATGCAGATATCGTAGGTTTCGTGGAACTAGCAAATGATGTAGGTATGGCTAGGTGTGTAATGAGAAGATATTTGGATAGATTAGTAATTGATGTGAACAGCCATTCTGAGATAAAGCAGCAAGACGATCTAGGTGCAACGAGAATGTAATTATCAGAGTGTTTCTATGAAACTAGCTTCGCTAGGCTAACTCTTTCGAGACCTAATGACATTCTAGGTGGAGCTGTGACTTGTCTCGGTTGGGTAATCTACGCTGTGTGTGCGATTAGGGACCTAGACTGAGGATGCAGACACGCAATCTGATGCTAACGTCATTATACAAACAATTTTCTTAAATCTTCAGATGTTAATCATCAACTGGTGAATCTAGATCATGCCATGTCAAATTATTCTATTTATACTGAATTTTAAAATACTAATCTCACTCCAATTACCAACGAAAATTACACATCTCGTTCGTAAACTGTCAGGAGTTATTAAAATCACTCGGTGTGTAATAAATAATACACCGCGCATGTTATAATAAGAGAAATATAGCTCTTCGATTACGGGTTGATATAAATTAATATAAAGGTTGGAGAGGTCAGTGGTGCCTAATGATCGAGCGAGAAAGTATAATTGAGAGGAACTCGTCGAGTTTTTTGCATCTTTCGATAAAATAGATAAGCAAGAGAACAGATTCATTTTCTTCTGAATTTTTTAGTAACATCGAGCTTGTGTTAGACGTGACAGTGAGAATGTCAGTCACGCGACCACACGTCGAACTCGCTGGACGACCTTTCTTATGCGAGCGTCGATGTCTCCGGCCAGGGAGCCGAATCTTCTCTCGCTACGCTTGAATTATTGATTATAGACAACGGTGCGAAATTTCGAATCTTTACTCCACACTACAATCACTCGTATTTTCACGCGACTGTGCAGACTGTGGACACGTAAAATTAGATTCCATTCGAGAACGAGGAAGACAAGTAAACAGTATACGAGATAAGAGACTAAACTCTGTGACACTTTTCTAATAGTCCTGTTAAGAATTTTAGTGCTGCACTGATTGAAAATTAATTTTATTTTGGGACGCAATTTTTGTAAATATTTGCAGTATAGAATTTTAGAATTAATTCAATTCCTAGTTTCGTTGATGTCACATATTACACTAGTCTCTAAAGTTAGGCAAAAATATCCTAAGCCTAAATGTACAATATATTCAAAATTCACTGTCATATATTATTTATTTTAATTACATTTCAATTTGGTCCGTGAAAAATATGTGAATTCATTTGAAAGGTGACTTTTAGATCCTATTTTATAAAATTTGGAACATATTAAATATAAAATAAAATAAAATAATAGCGTCCTAGGTATTGGAATTAAATAATTCTTTTGTACGTGTTAATTATCATTCCATTTTTGATTTACTGTCCTGGAAGATATGATCAGCATTATGACAGTAAATCTATTTAATAATTTCTTCGAATTTTATCGAATGCAAATAAATTATAAAATTATAATAAACCCTAAACCCAATGTTTTTGGAAATAGTAGTAACGTCTTTGACTCCGACGTCTTCTCCAATAAAAGAACAGCTTCAAAATCATCAAAATATTAAAAATAATTGTACAATTTTCGTACCTTTCTATATATACACAGGCAAACCCGTGATCTAATATAAATTAGTTTTTAGATTTATATTATCATAAAGCAATAAACGCGGTAGTTTAAGTTCACTTTTAAAATCGCGAGTGCTTCTTGTTAAAGCCATCGATCTCACAGCCTAAGTTGTCATGTGTAACCCTTTTGTACGTTTTGGTTTTTCATATTTATAAATTTATAAACATTTTCTGGCATAATAAACGTACTTAAAAAAAAACAAAAAGAAAAAAGGTTTTAAAAATCAAGGAACTAAACGACCAATCCGAATAAGAGACTAAACTCTGTGACACTTTTCTAATAGTCCCGTTAAGAATTTCCGTGCTGCACTGTTTGAAAATTAATTTTATTTTGGGACACAATTTTTGTAAATATTTGCAATATAGAATTTTTGAATTAATTAAATTTCCAGGTCAATTTGAGAAGACGAAACAGCAGCCAAATTCAAAACCATTCAAAACCATGAAAGAGATATAGAAAAACGCAGTGCTTTGATTTCCTAGGTCCCATTCAACCAGAGACTGCAAGATTCTTCGTCCAAGCCGATTTTCCCTTCATATCATCCGAGGACACGTCAACCGTGAACTCGAAAGGACGCAAAAGCGTGTTGTCCTGGACGTCGAGTGGTCTGGTACGGTATACAGCCGCGAACCCCGCCGCGTCCTCTCGCGTCCTGCCGATTCTTTCCTACGCGAAACGCATCGAAACGCATCGGAGACGCAACCCTGCGCAATTCCATCGGCGATAAACAAACAAGGAGTCAGGCGAGCTCGGCCGTCTCCGTTGACGCCACGAGTCAAGCCGAGTCTGCTTCTCCTCCACCTTGCCAGCTCGCCTACGTTCACGTCTGCTTCCTTTTCTCTCTCTCCCTTCCAGCACCGGGCCTATCGGCGTGTCTTCTCGAGGAGAGAAGCCTCTTACTCGGCCAGCTCGCGCCGTTCACCTGGAGAGAGAGAGAACCGGGTTCCTCAGTCTCGAACCGGTGGGCCGGAGGGAAGGAGCTCCGTGACCCTGAATCCATTCCGTTCGCATCTCGTTTCACCATTTTTCCTATTATTTCGCCCGTTCTTTCTCTCTACTCGCGACTTCTCACCCCGTGGACCTAGCATCTGCCAATCGTTTCGTCCAGGTCCTCACCGTGACCCCTGTGATCGCGTTTGCGCCAGTACACCGTACGACTGTGCCAGAGGAACGGTTTCTGCTCTCGTCGCTTCAGCGTGGAGGCTCGGTTTTGTGCAGTGAATTGTCGTCGACTCGCGCTGAGACCTTCTGTGCCGTGTACATGTACCCAGGACAGGGATCGCGGCGTGGAACGTAGGAGAGCAACAAACAAAGTAAGTTTTCCCGGATAGCTGCCAGCTATGACTCACAAGGACGGCACCGTGACAGTTCGCGTCTCTTTTTTCGTGGTTCCACCGGCCAGCCAGTTGGGTCGAAACTTGACACTCCCGTTCAAATTCCTGACCAGTCTATGACCAGTTGCTCGAACAACGATTAGGAGCTTAGCAGGATCTGGTGTCTAAACTTGCTCGAGTTAGAGGGACGCTAATGGTCAACAGTTTCTAACGAGCCTGAGCTCGATGGCCTGCAATATGGTTCGTTCTGATGGACGTTAGAGGAAGAGCAAGCAAGGTGTCTATGATGCTGGGTAGATCGGGCGATTAGGTGGACTGCACGGTTTGATGTCTTCTTTCAGGTGTCGAGGATCGTGTCGATGCAGATAATCGTTATACCAAAACTATACTGCGAATCGGTACAGTTTACATTAGCACGGTCTTCTTCCATTTTTCCACCTCCCTTTTGGCATCTTCCATCTGGGTTCTCCATTATTTTCGCTATTTCTGTGACCAAATTTAAAATTCGAGTACACCTATCACCTACATGCCCACCTATGGTGCACAGAAGAAGGATGATCGCGGTAGAATCTTCGATTGAAAAATTGACACGAGTCTCTCGCGATCCTGGAAACTTTGTTCGACAATTTCGTGAAAATTCTCTGAGATTGGTTTCGATGGCCACTTTCTAACCCGAGAGTCTCTGCCGCGAGGAAAGTTACGGAGGAAAGAAGCTTGGAATGTCTTGTTCGAAGTGATATCTTGGCTTCGGAAGGTGAAGATTGGTAAGATTGAAACGATTGCGAGGTATCGGAGAAGAAAAATGGAGGCTATGGTGTTCCGCTGGTTAATTAATGGGTGGAAGGAAACATAGGAGTGGCGAAATATCTTCTGCCGTTTCATTTTCTTCTATTTCGAACGGTCGAGCGCGCGATGCCGAACGGTACACGCTTCTCTTCGACTTCTTTCAGCGTAGAACCTGCGCGATTTTCGTTCTGCTCAGTGAGCTGTCGCAAACATCGACGTGTGCTACGTAAAATGTGGAAACGGAAGCCTCGGGATTCGCAGATTAAATCTGCCGTGATGCTACGTTTTTCATTTTCGCCTCGGTTGCGCCACAGTATCAGGAGAATCTAAGATCTTTATTCCGAGACTTTCGCGGAGCTGGAATTTTATAACGAATTATAATTACAAAATCGAAGGATTCTTCTGAACAACCGTACAGGAAACGGAGGAAGAAAGTTTACGATTCGTTGGTGACTATCGTGCATCTTGGTTTTAATGGTGCATTTATAAAATTCGAACGTTCTTCGTGCATTCCATTTTGCAATCTTCGAAAAATGATAATCTTCTTTAGACAGAGGATAGAATACTTAATTGTAGAGTGGCTGAGGTATTTAATGACGAGGAAGGTGGTTGAAGAAATTAATTTATAGAATTCGAATATTTTATATCTATATTATATTAATATTAATATTATAATTATTATATTAATATAAATATTATATTTTATATTTTTTTCTTTTTTTATACTATCGAAATTTAAAATTAGTATTCAAGGTAATTCTCGTGTAAAAAAATTTTCTGTATAAATTTCTGTACAGAAAAAATCTGAGCTTCGAATGTTTGGAATGTTTGAAATTTACAGAATTCGAATCTTCCTTTCTACATACCTTTAAAATTATATTTTATAAGTAATTTTTAAGAAGATTAATAACGTTATTATTTCATAAATAGAATCTACTAAATAGTGTCCTACTGGGTCCACAAACATTGGTTGCTAGGAGACAAAGAGGCCCCACTGACAACTGTAAAACTATCATTTAATTTCTATAAAAGGAGCATAGAAGCATATAAATTTGAATTACGTGATACAATAATAATATTGTAATTTTTATTATATTTTCAAGCCACTGGAAAATCATTAACATTTTCAACATAATCGCCATTGCTATTGACCTAACAGTAATCTGAACCTAAATACAAAATACACAGAGAGTAATAATTAAGGAAACACCATAAAAATAAACAGATACACACAATTACACTCTTACACCATAAATGAATATTAATTTTCCCAAAAATGGCAGCAAAAATGGCCACTATTGGCCAATTTTGACATCAATGTGACAAAATATTTAAGACTGATAATTTTGCCCGATTTAATAATTTTTCTAAGTAGTTATGAAGCTCATATTATGTTCTTAAATACTCGAGATTGTAACCCTAATTTTTCTCCAAGTGGTAGACCAATGTTTCACCAATTTTAATTGAAGACGTTCGCAACCATATGTTGTAATTTCTCCCTACACTAAAATCGAATCTTCCGCGCAAATTTCCTCGGAACACGAAGAACAATGTATCCAGCACTTTCGTCCTTAGCAGGAACTACCGGTTCCGTCATTGAAACGTAAAACATTCGGTGTAAAATTCACGGGCTAGAAGTCGCGCAAGAATGGCGGAGCTGAATTGATGGAAGAGAAAGCTTGTTCCTCGAACGACGAAATCCGAGTGGCGTTGTGCGTTCTTTGACCACGTGAATCGCCGATCTAATAGCCTAGCTGGTCGTAAAAATTAAGGAAATCGCCTATAATTTGCTTAATAAAAGCCAGGGGGGGAAAATCCGCGGCACCCCGAATGGAAAGGTTATTTAAATCGTTCCGCCATTTTCTTTCCCGTAACTCGAATCACTTCGTTTCCCATTGCTCTTTTCGCCTGCATAATAAAAACCTTTGCCGGTGGGTAATACAAATTAGCTCGTAGTTACTCTAACGACTCGAGGAATCGAAAGTTGACTGTTGTGGGGTTCGAAGTTAGCGGGATTATGGTTAACATAATCACGATGAAATGGACGAATCGTTGAATTATTTAGTCTCTGATTAGGTTTATATATGGTGTGATAAGGTGTGATTACGATGATGAGTTTGCGTGCCTGGTGGAAGTGTAAAGAAATACGGACACGTGTCGTGTTCCTGGCTTGTTCAAGGGTTAGTGAAACGAGAACACGATGCAGGCGATGAAAGATCATCGAGTCGTGTTGCACCATTTTTAGGCTTCGGATCTATTTTACAGGATTCTCGGAACTCGAGTATTAATTATACTTCCTTTTCGGTCGCGAGTTATTTGAAATTGCATGTAAATTGGACTCCAATTTAAGTTTTATAGAGTATTACATTCTGGGGTAGTTTGAAAGGAATTGGGAAAAGATGACGTGTCAAAAATAGAAATGAGATGTTATGTGTGAAAATATTGGAAATATTAATTTGCTATGTGAGAGATGCATACGTACCTAAAAACTTAACTTATGTTTAAAAGTATAAATAAAAGTGTCCTAAATTGATCATAAATCTGCCAATTTTTGATAAAGTAATTTTCAAGCCCTAGACTTGAGTTTAAATATTCAAACTTGTATAAGATGATTAACAAAGTTAAAATAGCAATTTTTTGAAACTTCCAAAATTTCTTTTCGTGTACCACAAGTACCCTAGCACCTGTTCGCTGTCATGAATCAATCACAAATCTCCCAATTTCTTTGAAAATAATTTTCGAACACTATACTTGAATTTAAATTCTCAAATTACCAAAAGATGACTAAGCAAATTAAAATAATACCTTTTAGAAGCTTCCAAAATTTCTTTTTGTGTACCCTAAGTAACCCAGCACCTGTTCTCTGTCATAAATCAATCAAAAATCTCCCAATTTCTTTAAAAACAATTTTCAAACCCTATATTTAAGTTCGAACCTTGGAACTCCCAGAAGATGACCAACAAACATAAAATGACACCTTTAAGAAACCCCCAAAATTTCCATTCGTGTACCCCAGACACCCTAACATCTGCTCCCAGCACTCCACCAGCGGCAGCTTGCACGAACCATCCTATACACGAGTACGGAGCCCCGAGGTCGCTAGTCCCTTGTCCAGCAGAGATCTAAATAATAATGGTGGACAAGTGAAAACGCCTGGACGCGAAGTATAAATTGCTTTGGAATCCAGTGGCCCGGTACGACTGGTTCTGCTTTCCTTTAGGTCGGACCTGGCCATGGTGCTGCCATTATGCGAGAGCGGTAACAAGAAAGTTCGGATTATGCGGCTTTTAGGTTAGGTCGATAGGCTGGCCAGGTAGGCGAGCAACGCTGGTACGCGTGGGTGGACGCTTAGGTGTGCCTTAGAACCTCTACAGCCAATTTGTTACGGTTTCGTTCGACCGTTTGACATCGACCTGTTTCTACCAACGAAATTTCTCTGGGACTTCCTCTTGGGGGACTAGCTAGACTGGGACTTATTGTGGGCAGCATAAAATCAATGAGATAAAATCCAAGAGGTTAGGAAGAAATTAAAGAGAGAGAGAGTTGGAAGAATTATTTATTGAAGTAATTATAGTTGGAAGTCATCCTTTTAGTGATCATTGTATAATGACAACTAGGGAGAATCTAATTTTTTGATTTCAGTATTAACCCTTTACACTGGACGATTTTTTGGTTAGGGAAGAGTAGAAATTCAAAGATTCTCTAGTAAAAAACTGGCAATACTTTTCTCAGCAGTAAATAAAGAATTGTGTAATAATAGAATTGTAGAATTATTTGATTTCGATACCTCGAACACTATTACGTTACATTAAATTTGATATATTAATTAATATCGATCTTCGAAATTTCATCAAATGGCGACTGAAGGGCTCGAGTGCAAAGGGTTAACCCTTTGACTAAGGCAGGCTTTGAAACGCACCGGTTGTACCACATGAGTAAGAATTCGTTTACAATGTCTGTCGAGAACGGCAAAATTTTGGGTAGAGATGCGCCCTCCGTGTCAGAAAAGCAAACTGTGGTGACCGCTTATATGAGTCCTCCCGTATCACAGAAGCAAACTGTGGTGAGCGCTTATATGCGCCTTCCGTGTCACAAAAGCAAAATTTCTGAGCGCGTATATGCGCCCACAGTAGCCAACCAAACCTTCTCATAACAAGTAACCGTGTAGGATAAGAAGGAAAAGAATGAAGAAA